GGTCAAGGACATTGGACATGTGACTGACAGAAACTTCGTAACATGAGGCATCCATATACAAAGTATGAAGCATCCAGATCTTCCACCTTCTAAAATATAAAGCTTTTAAGAAGTTAGTTAACGCCGACGCCGGATCACTATCCCTATGTCGAGCTTTCTGCAACAAAAGTCGGAGGCTCGACAATAAAATAGTCATAATATCAATACAAATTTTCAATAATTAAATCCAAGCATTAAAATTGAAGTCACACAAACTTCAAGTTCCCTGCGTTTGTTTCCCCCCAAAATAATCATGTTTTTGAAGGCACTTAATGATTTAGTGCATCCATCCTGAAAATGAAGTCACTGTTGAAACAGTATGTCTACATGCATATATATGTAGGTTCTTGATACTTGTCGCCAATAAGAACAAAATTACGATCACAAAACATCTGGACGATGAAAATGAAAATTGGTTCATCTTCAGCTAAATCTTATTGACACCAATGCATTAACGTAACAATAACACAACATAACTACAGACACAAATATTATTGTTATGTTCGCAATTAATCGGTTTCTTACCCAACCTAGCCTTCTGGCAATTATAATGTCTAACGTAACAATAACTTTTTTGTGATTGTTACGTTTTGAACATAATCGTAGCCAGAGCCTATTTTCATACAAGGAACATGCATATTTAAAAGACACACAAATCCAATTCGTGGTACATATGTCAAAGTTATAGTCTTTATCATCAATAAAAGTTATAATACATCATGTAAAATACACTTTTTCGGTAATATCTAGATTTTAGGGTTCTCATTGAGTTTTTGGGAGTGTTTGTGAAATCAGTGTACTTTTCTTTTAAGGTAATGTCTGCGCGTCTCAGCATGAGGGGACGAGTAGCCAAATTGGCCTTCTTAGGTTACACGTACCCATTTCCGGTTTTATAACTAAATGTAATCGGATCAGGAATATAACATGAAATAAACGTGAAAATTATCGCAAATAGTGAATAAATACTCACAGAGATGAGAAACGTCCCTGATTAGTTTTTAAATATTTTTCGTTTTAAGTATTAACTATAATTATATTGATATACTGGAATCTATGATAGAAAAATCTAAATGATAATCAAATTAAAAAGCATTACAGACAAGTGAGAAAAACAAAACAAAATAAAACAGTTAAGTTCTTAAATTAAATACCGGTATATAAATAAAATAGATTATCTATACAGATATATAACACATAATTAATTCAAATTACAGGGGTTAAAAAAATTTGTTACAGCTCAGGACTTATTGGTAGCAGGATTTTACTAGCCCTGTTGAAAGAGCTGCTAGCCCATCAAAACTGACCTGCTAGCCCTAGTATACCTTACAAATTTAGAGTGGGTGTCCCTTGTTTTGAATGCGGCATTATACACAGTATTTGATATAATAAATCAAATAAATTTTTGTTTTATTAATTATAACAAGGATCTCTAGACATCTTTTTGGATATCCCTTGTACTATGGGTTGTTAAATATTTTCGAGCACAGAAAACATGTTTATTGATCTTGTCATGTGAAACCAGTGGTTCAATTCGTATATTTGTTGTTCCCACATACAAAGCAGACTTTTTATCAGCGTGATCAGGAAAATAACGGCAATATTCACAAAACATCATCTCTTGTTTATCATCAGTAACAGTCGACCTTGCCCATGGAAAATCTTTCTGTCCATGACACTATAAATGTTTTTTAACGCTTTTCCTGGTCGTATTTGGCATTTTTTGGGATAAATTTTCAGCCTCATTACCCCCTTCATCTACCGTTTTTCGTTTTGAAACTGAGAAAGTTCCTGTGGTGGCCGTACTAAAATGTTTAGAAATAATTTGTGCATGGTTTCAAGCTCAAATTAACAGCTGTCCGACAAGACAGGTCAATATCGATCATTACATCATACACCCAAGTACCATTAATTGAAAATCTCGGCATAAGCAATGTACAATACCCCCTGTACTGAGAAATTGATATTGAAAGTACGTGAATTGCGATCAATACATGATACCGGTCCACCCAGAGTTAGTTGTTCTATTTTTAAAACATGTACAAAATCGGTTCAAATTCTTGGAATCCCGGATGACGTACGTAATTGAATCAGATTGGCTAAGATAGAATAGTGATGAGGGGATTTTCCACTAACTATTTTGGAAATGCCAAGAATTGTTTGTTACTAGTCCGTCGGGCATACTCGGTTACAAGTTTTAATTGCCCGAAGTGTAAAAGTCTAGTCCCGGGCGTCGGGCTAGTGGATTTTTTAACCCCTGAAATTAATTTATTCATTATATATATCATTGTTCATTTTAACCTACATGTATATATGAACACCTGAAATATTTTATCATATTTCAGGTGCAACAGTAGAAGTAGTAAAAGATGAATCCGGAGTTCTGAATAGATGTATAATTATCAAATGCATCTATTTTTATACACATGGAATTTTTTCTTATTACTTGCTTCTTTAATTTATGTATACACTCAAGCTTTATTTTTAGTCGTTTTACATATTTTAGGATTTTGGTTTATGTTTGACATTTTACTAGAAAATTATTTTCACACGACTTTTTACATAGCTTTTTTCAAATTCAGTATAATTTTATTCTTTTTAAATGTGCATTTACATTTAATTTCTAATTTTATCATGTTTTCTTTGCAGGGACTGTTCAGTTTTATTCATTTAATGCAGGGCTCACACTACTTCAGAATCATAGGGAGAAGTGACTTCTCTTTTTGAAACTAAGAGGGAGAAGTGGTGAGATTTGAAAGAGAAGTGCTCGTTCGCTCGTGGCGCTACACTGTTTGGTTTTTACTATAATACAAAGGGCCATATGTATCTTATTTTTTTATATTGTTCAATTTGTACCTGGGTAACAATAAAAGTAACAGTTCAAATTCAAATTCAAAGTTGTTTAATTTTATCTTATCTAGTTGCACAATCATATTAGTCCTCTTGTTAGAAAAAAAGTTAAATATCTAGCAATGATAAAAAAGATTTTTTTATATCAAAAAGGAAAAGAAATTTGTTATTTCAATTAGAATTCAATTTAAAATGTACCCTGTTATCATGTTTATGAAATTCAGTGTTTCTCATCATTGCTCATTAAAAAAATATATAAATTTAACACAGTTAAGCTTAGCTTGGACTAAGTATTCCCAGAGTTGATCAATTTTAATTAATAAATTGAAACAATTTTACCATGGAAATATATACATTAATCAAGTAGATCTAACCAAAAGTATGTTAATGCGTGTGGAATGCGTAATTTTTCCTTTTGAGATCAATATTCCTCTGTCAGCTGTGCCATTCATGCGTCCATAGTCATTATTGTAAGAATCCGGATTTCGGTCATACATTTTTGTAGCTGGTCCGGTTCCGATCAGTAGTTTATATAAATATTTCAATTGGGGACAAAGAAAAATTTACAAAAATAAACGATGTTTGACACGCTATTTGGAAAGGAATATTAGGTTTTTAATGCAATACAGTGTACATGGATAACAAATTTACTTCAGGCAAATTTCATCACATTCTTATGAAGTAACAAACTTATTTTGCCAAAATTTAGAATGATTTGATGTACACTCTCAAGTAACAAGTACCGGAAGTGATAAAAAATTGTTTTTATGAAATAACATGAATAACATGCAACCAACTTTAGAATCAATGCTTTAACCACTTTTCTGAAGAAAATAAATCGTTTATGTCCTTGAATTTCTTTTACTTTTAAATGAAAAATTGCTGATCATCGACTTGGAAAAATTGAATATTGCTGATGACAAAAGCGACTAAAAGCGAGTACGTATCGTAAACAACAGGGCGACTAGATTTCGCTTTTGACAGTTGGGCAAAGCGAAGTGACGACCGGGAAAGCGATTTTGTCGCCCCAGTCACATGGTAGCGTGAGCCCTGCTTTAATGTGCATCTAATTTGCAATGTTTATTATGTATTTTAAACTAATGAACTAATGAATACAAATTAAAAAATCTTACTTGCCATTCTCTTCACTGAATTCACAAAATCAGCAAATAACCGATAATTTCCATGTATATTTCATGTTTTATTCCCAAATTTATACGACGACATTTTATTATAAAACCAGATGCGGGTACCTTACCCTATGAATGTCAATTTGTCCCCACATGTGGGGTCCCGCAGACACTGCCTTTCTTTAACAGAGAGAAAATTTTTAATAAGAAAAGAGCATCTGCTACCTGAAAAGGACAAAGATATAAAGCAACTAGAAGGAAATTATGACAAGAAAGAAGCATCTGCTGCCTGAGACCATATGTTTCTTTGACATTAGAGACAAGCTATGCCACCAGGCTTAAGATTGAGATAGGGTTCATCAACGTGCAGTTATTAATACAACTGCATGTATGACCTGATTTATTGATGAAAGGTTGACCACACATCATTTATCGGCGTACATGTTAGCAGGTTAATTCATCGGAGCATTACTTTCTTATAATCTATTTTGCCTCAGTTAGTATTTGTATATACAGATATATTATGGTTGTTCAAACTCACCTATGTCATATCCTCAATTAAAAATGAAGTTTCTAAGCTTGTCAAGTTCTTTCGTCCGATTTGTTGTCATTGTTTACCCGCCATGTTAGTTACTGCGTGCCAAATTAATCTTTAAAATAATTATCCGTTATTTTCAAATTATTTGAGTACAATTTCGCACTGAAATTAATAAATGTCTTCAGAAAAATGCTCAATCTATTTGAATTATTGCTGTTTAATTAAAATTATTGTACTTAATTAAATTATATCTAATCAAATTTTCTAATTTATTCACTTCCTCTTCTGCATGTTCTGACTTGACAACGAAAGTGGCGAGCACTGCCTTACGGTATCAATTTTGCACGAATTCAGTTATTTGTCATCATAAACTATTATTTAGCATTGTAATTCTTAAGATAATTAACTTTGACGATAATGGTTGATAAGTTTGCGAATTTTTATTTTCTAACTTACTAAATAACAATTTATGCCAATAACGTATACTGAGTTATTTCCCTTGACATATTTAGTGATTGATTGATGGTAAGTAAGTAAGTACGTGAATTTTATTTTAAAGTCGGCATATATATACATAGTAATAGTTAAAACATGAACTCTGGTGAGCTTTAACCGACTGAAAATAACTCAATGTAACCAAATTAGGAAATATCTGAGACTTCTACTACTAGAGACATATTTATTGTAGCGGTAGGTCTTTTCACCCCCGAACACCACCGCACACCACCGAACACCACCGAACAAATTAAAATTCCATCTGACACACCTAAATATATTGTTTTCATCTTTATTTATATATTTGACTTACCTTCTGAACGAGGATGAATATGTTTATACATATATATATACACTAATTAATCAATGATAACAAGAGAACCAAAAAGAACAGTCTTGCAGGGCTGTTGTCAGAACAGTACACTTTCAACTTGAGTCTAACATTTTTTTAAATATAATTGTGATAATTTCACATCAAATAAAATGTTTTAACTTATTTGAACGATTTATTTCTAATAATTGAAAAGTAAAGACCATAAGATGATATACAATGAAATACAGACAATGTAAATCCGGAAAAAATATTGCTGCATCCGGAAGCGTTTTTTTTTTATTTTGATTATCAACTCCTTTAACATCACTAATTCACATAAAAAAGTGAAAAACATGACAAAAATAGGATTAAATTTTACTTATTTAATCGATTGTATTGTTTTATTGTGTACCATTACTGTTTTTCTTAAGGGTTAGTGGTCTTTTTGGGTGTTCGGTGGTGAAAAGACCGACCCTTTATTGTAGTCCCAGGAACTGTCACTTAGAATGTAAAATAACTAAATTTTCAATGGAAATTCGATGTTTGTTTTAAACTAAAGAACTGCTAAACATCATACAGAAACTCAGTTACTGCCGATGTAGGACGTTTCGGCCACAGTCGTTTCAGTCATACTTTTGAAAAGCCGTTTCGGTCATGGTTTTTATTGTTATGAAGGGAGGAAAATTAATCGTTTCTAGAACTAGATTGCAAGAAATAAATGGTAATATACATTGGTGCCAAGCATTTCTATTCTTTGAAAAAAATGTGCATAATTGTCGAGCCTCCGACTTCTGTCGCAGAAAGCTCGACATAGGGATAGTGATCCTGCTGCGGCGGCAGCGTTAGCTAACTTCTGAAAAGCTTTATATTTTAGAAGATGGAAGACCTGGATGCTTCATACTTTGTATATAGATGCCTTATGTTTTGAAGTTTCCGTCTGTCATATGTCCATTGTCCTTGACCTCATTTTCATGGTTCAGTGACTACTTGAAAAAAAATTAAGATTATTTGTAATGTTAATTTCTTTCTTATTATGAGATAACTATATTTAGTATGTGCGTACTTTGCAAGGTCCTCATGCCCAACTGGCAGGTATTATCTGACCTTGACCTCATTTTCATGGTTCAGTGGTCAAAGTTAAGTTTTTGTGTTTTGGTCTTTTTTCTAATACTAAATGCAAAATAGGTCAACTATATTTGGTGTATGGAAATATTTTATGATGTACATGTCAGTGTCATAGGTTTTATCTGACCTTGACCTCATTTTCACGATTCATTGCTCAGTGTTAAGTTTTTGTGTTTTGGTCTGTTTTTCTTAAACTATAAGCAATAGGTCAACTATTTGTGCTGTATGGAATGATTGTAAGGTGTATATGTCTGTCTGGCAGGTATCATCTGACCCTGACCTCATTTTCATGGTTCATTGGTCAATGTTAAGTTTTCATGGTTAAGTTTGTTTTTTAGATACTATAAGCAATATGTCAACTATATTTAATGCATAGATCGATTGTAAGGTGTACATGTCTGTCTGGCACGGTTCATATGACCTTGACCTCATTTTCATGGTTCATTATTCACTCTAAATTGCTCATTTTTAAAAGTTGACTTTTTGTGGGCGCATGACGACGTTTCCGTAGATTTTACTTTTTCTAGTCAATACTTCATCTGTTGATATATACTGTGAACGTTTTGCGTATATTTAAATATATTTAGCTATGTTTGAAAGACGTACATAACGTCAAATCATAAAAATACAAATTGTTTAGTCTCTAAGAAAACTTTATGCGTACTGTAACGTTATATGTTAAAACAATTAATGATATATTTATATGTATGTTAAGAACAGATTGAAATAGTGTGACCGTATCGAATATTGGCCGAAACGACTGTGGCCGAATTGGTACTGTGGCCGAACTGGTTGTGTGGCCGAAACGTCTCGAAAGCGTTACTGCTGAGAATATTTCATTCTCTAATCGATATGAAACATCTTATTGGTCTTCGAACTGTGTCAATCTTGAAATCGCCCTGCTGATTTTAGTTTGATTCGTGTTTATTTATCTTAAGTAATTTATTGTTGTTTTCCTAAGTTTTATTAGAGACATGTCTGGTTTTATAAGACTAGTGTTTGTCTCATTGGGATTCTCTCCGGGCACTCCGGCTTCCTCCGGCAAAAAACAACAACAACAAACAAACAAACAAAAAACAAACTGGCTGCCGCGAAATAGCCAATAGTGCTGAAAGTGGCGTTAAACACTAACAACCAATAAATCAATCAATTTTTAGGTTTGCTGAAATCTTTAAAGACTATCCTCCGTCCGTTTATTTTAAATAGGTATGAACGACAAAAATAGGACGAGTTGGAACACGAGCAGTAATATGAATTTTGTATTCTAATAGTATACGAAAAGGTATTATAAAACATTAAATTAAAGGCCGCAAAGTCGCAATGGCCAACGGTTTGTTATATCGAAAATAATGATAATAATGATAATGAAATATTAGACCTGAATCAATTTTTCTGTAAAATACTTCCTCACAATAAGAAAGATATTAGTTATAACTTAATAACTGACAGGCATACTGTTTTCATCCTAATTTTTTTATTCCAGTAGCCATGATAAAGCTGTTGACCCTTGACGTGACAAATACAGTGATCCGTGTATTGGGCGGAGTTGGACACCAGTATGCTTCCGCAGCCTCTATATATGGAATTAATGCTGACCCCGAAACACTAGACGTATCGTTTAGAACTAAATGGAAAGAACAAAATCTAAAGTATCCAAACTTCGGAGTTTCTAGTGGGATTACATCACATGCGTGGTGGAACGAACTGGTGAAACAAACTTTCATTTCCAGTGGATATATAGATACCGAGGCGCTGTCGAAGGTAGCAACACACCTGTACTTGCATTTCAAAACTAATAAAGGATGGGAAGTGTTACCGAATACTAAAAACGTTTTACAAGATGTAAAATCAAAAGGCATTAAGTTAGGCGTTATATCTAATTTTGATGAACGACTGGAGGCTGTTTTATCGAGTTTAGGACTTTTACATTACTTTGATTTTGTAATATGTTCTAGACTTGCAGGCCATGCTAAACCTCAGTCACAAATATATGAAAAAGCTTTAGAGCTTAGTGGTATTTCTGCACCAGATGCCTTACACATTGGGGATCATATAGATAATGATTATACGGGGCCACGCAATATTGGCATGTCCAGCGTACTGCTGTGTAACAATTTGGAGAAAATTCCAGATCACGTTGACAAAAAGTTTGTCATCACAAATCTTGTCGATGTTTTAAAATTTATTAGATAATTGTTACTTGTGCTTTATATGTTTTAAGTTATGACAGTCATATCTTTAAGGTTTGAAACTATGAAGCCGTTAAAAAACTTGCTGATGTGCGGACAAAATAAAATCTGTACTATTCTAGTTGACCAAATAAATGGCTGATGACTATCATTTATAACTACAACTGCATCTAAATATTTCGTTAGGAGAAACAGTATCTCCAAGGGTCCGTGTAACACTTATCAATTCAAAATTTCAAAAAGTTTTCAAGTTTTAGTTTTTTTGATTTTTGATCAAAGTTTTATAATATCCAAATTGAATTACTTATTACCAGGTTTGAAATAAAATGAACAACACGACGGGTGCCACATGTGGAGCAGGATCTACTTACCCTTCCGGAGCACCTGAGATCACCCCCAGTTTTTTGGGGGGTTCGTGTTGCTCAGTCTTTAGTTTACATGCTATGTTGTGTTTTGTGTACTCTTGTTGGTTTATTGGTCTTTTTCTTTTTTAGCCATGGCGTTGTCTGTTTATTTTCGACATATGAGTTTGAATGTCCCTCTGTTATCTTTCGTCCCTCTTTTGTTTGATCTACAAGGTGAAAAAGAGAAAATGTTTCTTTAAGTCTAAAAAATAATTAGTAAGACCTGATTTTGACACACTTTGATTCTCTAACTAAATGAACAATATGCAGAAATTACTTGTCGACTTTGTGATTACTGCTATTTTTAAATAGCGAATAAAAGGAAACGGGATATTCGATTTTTGAAATAAGGGATAGTTCCGTATTTGTTATTTGCACTTTTGTAAGTTATCGTGCGACAATCAACTTTGAGCAAAATACAAGTACGCAGCCACGTCTAGTCAGAATGGGGCGTGTAGAGAGATTGGTTCGTTGATTGCACAGTTTCTGTCCATATCCAATATACCCTCATTTTCCAGTGGCGATCTAAATTTGTTGACCTTCATCCTGAACGGACTTTATTACAGGACCTACCTATTGTATTTATTGTTAATTTGTTATCGTCCTGGACATGCATGAAATATTTGCCACTGGCAACCAACAATCAATCATTTAAAATAGGCCGTTTATATATAAACTATAAAGAAACTCAAGTTTCAATTCCCTCGGACAAATTTTCCCTTAGATGGATTTTGCTATTTTTAATGTCCCTTTTGGCAACACACCTCTTCTATTGTTTTCTTATCCCTAGTTTTAAAACTCATGAGTTCGCCTCTGTAATATGTATCAATCATTTTATTATTGACTGTAAATACAAAGTTAGCATGAGATTGAATTGGAAAGACTATGAATCCCCTGTACTCGGTGCTAAAAACCGTTTTAAAAAGCACCCAGAGATTTCTTATACATCGTACATGTAATACTGCAAGGTTATTAGTCCCCTACCGACGAAGTCGAGGGTGACTTTAGGTTTGCACTCCATCCGTCTGTCCATCCGTCAGTCCGGCAAATCAGCTTTCCACACTTTTTTTCTTCGTTCTTAGAGATATTGATTTGATATTTAGTATATAGTGTTATCATGACAAGATATAGATCAAGTTCGAATTTTGTTCCGGTCTGATGATTTAGTCCAGAGTTATGGACCATAACTCTGGACCATATCTTATGAAAGAGTAGGGGCCTCGGTGGCCGAGTGGTCTAAGTAGTTACTACTGTAATCACTAGCCAGTCAACACTGAGGTTGTGAGTTCGAACCCCGCTCGCTCATGAATTAAACCATTATACTTGCGGAAAAGCAGGGGGGGGGGGGGTGGGGGGGGGGGGGCAAAACAAAAGAAACGAAAAGAAAACAAGAGCAAACAAAACGAAACAAAAACGAAATGAACATAATTAATCATCAATCAAGGTAATCAGGAGAATCAAAAATCATCAGTCGAAAAACGAAAAACGATGGACGGAAAGACAAAACAGTCTACAAAACTCAACCACAGAAAACTAAAGACTGAGCAACACGAACCCCACCAAAAACTGGGGTGATCTCAGGTACTCCGGAAGGGTAAACAGATCCTGCTCTACATGTGGCACCCGTCGCGTTGCTCATGTTATTACAAACCTGGTTATAAGTAATTCGGTAGGTCACGAGTTAGCCTTTTGTTTTATAATTTTCATTATATTTAGGTTTTTTTCAGAAAATATTGTTTTCGTTTTGATTTGTTTTGGTAAATTTCATTTCGTTTCCTTCTGAATCAATTCTTATTCCGTTTCGCACTTGTAACAGGTATCCACATTGTAGTCCTTTCCCCTTTCCTATATTTTAATAAAAAATAAAAAAAATAAAACTTTCAAAAAGCGAAATGATCAAAACTGTACGTTCAGTTTAGAATTTTTAAAAATAGCTGAAGTTTATAATTTTAAAATTTTAATATTTGGTGAAATTTCAAAATTTAAAAAAGAATAAAAAAAATTGTAATTTTGAAATTTTAAAACTTTGATCAAAAATCAAAAAAATTAAATTTTGAAAACTTTCTGAAATTTTGAATTGATAAGTGTTACACGGACCTCCAAGCTACTTGAACTTAGGTAATTGTATAGTTTTCCCATTTTTAATCATGAGGCAAAAGTCACAGATCAAAGATTGCCGTCGACAAACATTTTTATACCATACAAATTAAAGGATTGAGTCTAGTCATAGAAGAACCTCATATAGCTACTAAGGGTTCGTGGAAAATTAATTGATTTTTGATTGCTTAACGTACAATAACATATATATATATCACACTTTCCGACTGTAGAAACACTGTGTTTATATAACTAAACACATTTTATAATTTTCGAGCTTGTTTTATCTACCCAGCAGTTTGACGAAGTCAAGTAGCTGGTTTCCACAAAGTCCTTATGTTACGAAGTTTCAATCGTTCTTAGAAGGAAATTTTGAACAGACTCTTACATTTTCATTATTTTGAATTGGTATAGCAAAACAGGTTAAATTGCTAAATTTTTACAATACGCAATAAATAGCGTAATATAACTTACCAGTTCGTTACTTCAATTTATGAGTTAGATAATGACAATAAGTTGAATAATTCAGTGTTGTACTAACAAAGATTACTTTACTATAACAGTTGAATCCAAGGGAGGTAATTATATCATTGTATTAGACATGTGGGTAATTTACAAAAAAATGTCGAATTTTCAGTATGTACAGGTCTATGATATTTTTTTATTTCTAAAGGAAAATGCAGTTGTAAATGTTTAAATGAAAGTTTGTAGGATTTTCTTGATACTGAAAGTTCGTTTGCTAAGGTACTAAAAATGATTACGGTAACATATCTGTTATGTGGAATAAAGTGACCCATAGTCTTGGCAATCGGTATGATTTTTACAGTAGAGTTAAGAATTAGATCAACCATTTGGGTTTTGGAAGCTTTTAAATCACATATATATGAATCCATTTGCGCATAATCAAAAGTTTGTTTACACAAATTTATTTGCCAAGTATATAATTTCGGCAAATGGGCCCCACAAATTTTACTCTGAGTACAGGCAAACATGTGCACCTGGAAAAGTTTTAAAGCATGGCAGGAAATAGATAATTAAATATTTTGTGTCATAACAAATCTTGTTGATATATCAAAATTTATATAGATGTTGTTGCTTGTACTATATAATTTTTATGAAGTTATGATAGTCATATCAAGATGTTTGAAATATGAAGCCGAACAAAAACTCTTTGATAGAAAAAGAAAGGATATTGAGTAAAATATACATGGGACAAAATCGCACACAATACATAGAAAATTATCAATGAACAGGGCTTTTATTGCTGTTCTTCATCTTGACAGTTGATGTAGGGTCTTCAACAATGAACGAATCATTCATACCCTACAACAAGGTCAAGGCGTCGACTTAAGCGGTACTATTGATAAAAATAAACCACATTTCACCTTCTTGCTCCCAACCCGCCTCGGAGTGCCAACTTGTGCGATGCTTGTGTACGACGGTTCTCCAGTCGAAAGCACCAGGGATACAAGAAAAGCATGTGCAGTAATTTTGAAAGACATCGATCGCCGCTAAATATGCCTTGAAGTTACACATGCATGTCGGGAGCGGTCAATGAATTACATAATCTATAATTACGGGCGAGGTTTTTCAACATATATTTGTTCATACATTGCCCAACAAAAGACCAATAATTTCGAAACAACAAATGATAGACAATACATATAAAACTAAAAAAACAAATGATAGACAGCACGGGGCACATCGAAATATATGTAAGAAAACCCAGCAGTTTAAAATAGTATGAAAGGGCAATATACAAAATAGATGACCAGACCAGTATTTTGAAGAAATTTAACCAAACATGAAATTTTGACGGTGTATCAATATGAGAAATTCTCACATGAACAAGCACACCATAACTGTAAATATTATAAGAGCATACATCTCATGCAAGCACGGGGAAACGTTCTACTGCCCCCACACAGTACTAGAGACAAACTCTAGAATCAATAGAAAATCGAAAGGATATGGAGCACATGATAGTCAGACCAACCATAAATTATCTGTCGACAAACAATGATATGGCCATACATATGCAATAAAGGATATTGAAGAATATATGTCAACGAGACACCAACCAAACGCCACACAAAAAAACAATAAAACAAACTGTGACCAGACGCATAGACTCTTTTAATCATAGAACCACAGACAAATGTCTAGAAAAGTTGTAAAGCCATCTGTTGCATTCAATTTTTTACGACGATATTTTTTTTATAGAGCCCGTATTGAATTTAGATACGACTAATGTAAACGTATTGACCCTTTCAATTTGTAAAAACAACTCTTGAAAGGTTGTACCAATTTAACACTGTGCGAAGATCTTTAAATACGGTCTTTATCGAGGCCCTTTATCGGTACTAACTTTGATTTTGTTGTTAACAAATTGAACATAACGAAATATTTACGGCAATATATATAGTTATAAACATGTTTAGTCGTTCATCCTGTCTACATTAACATTTTGGCAATGCACAAGGCTAGGCATTTCTCAGACTGTTTATGAGGTCATTACACTAAATTCATTGGATGTGTACTGATTGAAATTTTAGATTTTGTCAAATTGAAAACATGGTTTTGAGCTAGCTTTTGTTAACAGTTTACTGCCAGTACTCTTAGATCGTTGTCCTGTGTTTTTTCTTTTTTT